TGAAATGAATGAACACATCTGTTGGTATTGTACATACCTATTCAAAGACTTCTGAAAAATAAAATTCTCTTTCGGCAAACACTAATCGGGGCGGCAAAACATTCGCAAAACAAAAGATGGCACATGCAAAATGATGAAAAATATCTAACAGCTGCCTCATTAATCTTCTCAATATAGCCTTCAATAGGTGGTGTCGAAGTCTCCATAAACATTTTAACAGGAAAAGGTGTCAAATCCGGTACCAAAGCAGCTGCCTTCAAGTTCTACGGCAATGCCTCAATTGCTTCCTTCTTCAACCTCAAGAGTGTCTACTCTGCTGCCTGTCTTGCTCTGTGCTTCCTCATCAAAATTCTACTATAATCTTTTGCAAGCCTCCGCCCATCCTCAACAGTCAGCTCATACTTCGAAATTTTATCAGCATCAACCACACCTAAAGTGATCAAATCCATGCCTGGGGTCCCAATTATCATTGGTGCTTCAAAATCCTTTCCTTTCTTCTTCAGTTTCTGAATCTCTTGCTCGCGGGCTTTGCTTACTAGTCCCATTTTCTCTCTCTCCCTCAGCTTCCCTCGCCTTTTCTTTAGCCTTCAAGAATCTGACTGGCGAAGTTGCACTCAAGCATTTATCAACCATTTCATCAAACTCACTTCTCCTTCTAGGTCCTTCTGGTTGAGAAGAAACTGCTGACCCTTTTTTTGTAGTGACCTTTGATCGCTTCAACATCTGTCCCGCTTTGATTTTTCCCTTCCCCTTAGCTGTTCCACTGACGGAGCATCTTTGTAAATATTGATAGCTTAACAACTCCAAAGATGATTGCAAGGGCTTTAGTTTCTTGATTCAGTAATTCGCATCATCTTTCACTACATTGTGCCAGTTAAAATTCTACAGCTAAGAGAAGATAGCAATGAAAACCTTTAAGTTGTATTCATGAGCTAATTGAATTTATAATACATTGTAATGTTCCAGGAATAATCTAGAAGCCAAGGCTGTTAGGTAGCTCCTTATGTTATGGATCATGATGGGAATATTATACAACAGAATGGGGTCCAAAAAAGCCAGCTGGAAGGAAACGGTTAAAACAGCTTGGAGGCGATGCTGAGTCACTGATCATCAGGATGCCTTCTGGAGATGAAGTGGCTCGAATTAATTCTTAACGGTCCCAATCCAAGAACCCCTCTTTTCGCTTCTCTGCAGAAAACAATGCAGTAGTCAAATTTCTGTTGATAGCAACATAAAAGGTTTAATTTTGAACCCAGTTCCAATTGGACACGAACAGATTTATTTCATATAAATGCAGGGACCGAGCCGCCTGGGGTCTAGTGGGGGCAACTGCCCCCACTGGATTTTGCTCCTGATATTTCACCTATAACACTTGAGAGGCAGCCACTTTTTAAGGAAGGGAGAAAACCATATACAACCGAATAAAAAATTCAAGAGAAATTTTGTCGAAAAACCATAGAGGAAGATTACCATCAAGAAACAATATTTTTGAAAAATAAATAAATTATAAGGAGTTGAGTTGAGTTGAAATTAGATCTTTCACAACAATCAGATCCAGTGCGATGAAGCCCCTTTTTACACTAATAAAATCCGATAACACCTTCAAATTTCATTGATGAAGAATTTGAGTAGAAATTACTGCAACCAAGATAAACTGGTGCCCAAGGGGTGATGAAGACATAGGTTATAGTTGGTATGCATGCCTTCTAATTAAGCTTTACAGGAATTTTTTACCACTCTATTCCATTTTTCAATGGACCCCAATCAAGAGATTAATAAATAGACCAATCAAATATATAATTTTTTTATTTTTTTATCTCAGGACTTACTTGGTGGATTAAAATCAAAGTTTTAGAAATTTTTTTTTAAATAATAAATTATGTTGCTGAAAGATTGTGGATTCCATGAAATATATTATTAAAATTAAATCTTGACTATGATTTAAGTTAAAATATTGATTTTAATTTCGATCAAAAGGACTTAATAAAAAATTCTTAAATAATATGTTTAGTAATTTAATCAATTAAAAAAAATTGGAATTTTGTTTTTAATTTTATTTGCATTTCTATTCTTGTTCTCAAAATGGTAATTAACACATAACGTCCTTACATTTCATTATTGTTGACCTCGAAAAACGACTCAAATACGTGGCCAACAAAATATTTCCACTTGAGCTCCTTCCTGCACAAAGTAACACACAGTTAGTCGTTCGTGGCCTTTTTCGGTGGGGGTGAAAACAGCTGTGAGCACTCCGATTGTCAAGTTAGTGAGTTAATATATCGGAACTGGGACGTCCGGTGGTAGTCACCGGAACATGGTTTTGTTTTAATGGTGGCGTGTGTGTACAGAAAATGTAAAAGTGTTTCCTTTCTCTCTCTTTTTAGGGACCAGCCTCATCCTATAGTGCAAGTATCTATAGTGAAAGGGAATAAGAGAGGAACTGTTGGATATGGAACGTGTGGTCTTGAGTGTAGGGCGAACCATTATCTCCTAGATGTCAATCTGTCAATCCACAGGTAGGTGGTTCATTTAATACTCCCTGACATTGTGTTCATTTAATACTCCCTGACATTGCAAGGCGTGACTTGTCATTTTGGAATCTGTCATATATCCCATCAATCAGTCCCAAGGATTTGGTTTTTGAGATCTTTTCATAAAAGATCTTCTAGTACACAGGGTTGAAGTGGAGGGATTGCGGCAGGACTGATAATTTCATTTTGGATGTCATCACTTCGGACTTAGTTTCGGTTATAATGAAATGATGTGGAGTGCGGGCCTTTGCATTTGTTGGGGTAGCAGATGAAATCAATTAGTTCACCACGTACCGAGACGAAATCAGTTCGTCTCATACATGGCGAATGGCGAAATCAGTTCGTCGCCACGTGTAGGATGAATCCAGTTCATCCATTACGTGGTGGTCGTATTAAGTTTGTCCCTTGACATGGCAATGATGTGGGAGATGACTTGAAAAAAACCCGTAACAATTATTATTACGGAAAACGTCATTACCTTCATTTTTAGCACTTTTACCCTTATTTCAACATTTTATTGCGCAAAACGTCATTTCATCTATTTTCTTAATGAAAAGCTATGAAATGACAAATATACTCTTCTGTTTAAATAAAAGAAAATGAAAGAACTAATTGCAATCATACTCTCAATTGTTTTAAAAAAATGCAGAAAAGAAAAAATTTCAAATAAATTATTAAAAGCATAATTAGCACATAATGTCCATAACTATCACTATTGTTATGAAAAATATCCCTACCTTTTATTTTTATTTTTTTTATTTTTACCATTAATTACACATTTGATTTCATACACTATTATTTCTATCCATTTTATCAAATTTCTCAACAAAAAGCTGTGAAATGATAAATATATCATTTTAATAATTTATTTGACACTCATTTGTACTTTTTTTAAAAAAATCTATTTTTTCATAATTTATTTAAATAGAATTGTATATTCGTCATTTCACAACTTTTTATTGAGAAAATGGATAAAAATGATGGTTTACACAATCAAATATGTAATTAAATGTGAAAATTTAAAAAAAATGAAATGTATGGACATTTTTCATAATAACAGTGAAAGGTAGGGAGATTAAGTATTAATTACCCCTTTAATAATTTATTTGTGATTCATTTGCATTTAAAAAAAAAAAAAATTGGCACTATGGTTTCAATTAGTTATTTATTTTTCTTTTTGTGTTATTTAAATAGAATGGTAAATTCATCATTTCACAACTTTTAACTGAGAAAATGGATATAAATGACATTTTGTGCAATAAAAGATTGAAATAAGGGTGAAAATGTCAAAAAAATGCACAATAACTGTGAAAAGTAATAACGTTATACGCTAATTACCCTTTTCAAAATTACAATAACTTATATGATATGTTTATTTTTTTTTAGCTCTATATCGTGAGTGAATCGTTCACATCGTTTGATGACAACAAATTCATGATTACAACTCTATCATACTATAATAAAAAAGTCAGTTTTGGGTCACTGTAGATGCAACAGTAACCCAATGAGATGTTATTGTTCATTTTTCCAGATTTCACTCCTCAGGTCCTCTACTTTTCACTACTATGTAGAAAAAAAGGCAATTTTCATTGCTTCGTTGTATATTTTGTCTTTATATTTTGAGAAATTTGATTTTATATCTTGGAATTGGTTTCAGGCATCTTAACTAAAAAAAAAAAAAAAGCACGGTATCTCCGCGCGCGGAGATTTTTTTTTTTTTTGTATAAGAGACGTCATTCAATGCATAAGAAATGAAAATTCATTAACTTGCAATTTCTCAAACTAGCATTTTGTTTTTTCAGTTCTCGCCCACAAACACTCATTCCCTACACAAACCCTAGATATTTCTTCTGTCGAACTCTCTCCTCACACTGAGAGAGCTGAAAAGGGAGAGCTAAAAAATTGGCCGGCTAACTTTGCATTTTTTCATAGGCACCATTATCCCATCACGTAAAATATGCTTTTATTTTTCTTTTTCTCTTCAGGCCCTTTACATCAAAGCCACAGAAATTGTTGAAGAGAGTAATGTTCAGTGAGTCGATGCCCCCTGTTATTGTAAGTAAAAAGTTGTTCATGAATTTATTTATTGTTTTAGGACACTTAGAGAAATATATTTAGACGACTAATTTGTTGGATTTTTTACTTCAAGTTTTGGGTAGCAGAGGGATGGACCTGGGTTAACATATTACTCATGCGAAAAGGCACATGCAGTTGGTTTTTGTTATTGGACATAATCTTTTGGATTGTTTACACGTTTTTTGATTTTGGATGTAGGTATTTAGGGGATTGAGTTCTTAATTTTGGTAGTGATATGACAAAGAGAATGCAAAATGAACATATTTTCGTACCGAAAACTATATAAATAATGGTATTTTTTGAAAAGATTCTGGTTTTTTGTAAAATTTACTATCATGTGATGATTATTGGAGCTTCATTTTTTTGTTGTGATTTGTTGTGCTGAGTAATTTTTTGAGCTATTCCGATTTGTTGAATTGATAGTAAGTGGAATTGGGATCTCTTCTTCTGTAGTCGACAACTATAAAGAAATGGTTTTGAAGGGGTGGGGGATCAAGGCGACGGGGAAATCACACAAATAAATAAAATTGAAGTTCATGATAGACGGAGATAAAGAGATAATATCGAAGTGGGTATGTATAAAATTACATGATATTCAGCTAATTACAAGTTAGAAAATATGCTGTGGTCGGAAGAGAAAATCAGTTACATGGTATTTGACATGAGAGTTTGATTTTCAACATGTCAATTGTGTAACTTCAATTTTCTCTCTCTTGTAAAAATAGGATTGTACGGGCTTTCAGAAGTGTACCTATGGTGAGAGCAGAGAAGACATAAATTTGAAAGTTGTTTGTCAATTGTATTAAGATAATATATAGACAGACTTCATTATTTGGATGATTGAAACTTGATTTCCATTTTTGAAGGATGGGTTTCTGCCCTTTAAAATGATAAATTCCTCACTCCAGTGTGTGTCTCTCTCTTTCTGATTTACTTATGCTTTTGTTAACTGTATCTTGCCATATATTGGCAACACTGCTGTAAATAATATTCCACTGATCTCACAAGTCCAAAAAAATTTACCTTTAAGACTACAGTTTTCCCCCAGTTGTTTGTCAACATACTTTACTTCTTTCATGTTCTTTGTGGGTCACTTGTACATGAAAAATAAAAAGT